TCCAGTGTTTCCTGGATGCCGTGACCAGGTCGTCGACAACGACAAGAACTACTTGACATTCGCTTTTCATCTTTTCTGCTGATCATTTTATTCAAATGAAACCTTTCACATGTTTGAATGGATGAATAAAGTGCTGGAACGGTAAAACCAGGGAACTTCCCCACACATCCAAAATCTCTTAAAGTGTTCATGAATTTCGTACATATTTCTGCTGATTCTCTGGAAATTTTCACTACAAAAAACTATGCTCATACAGGCGAATACGAATCCCTTCCAAAAATCCCAAGCACAACTCCGCTTCTCTTCGGGTCTTCGGGAATTGCCCAATAGGTGATTACAATCCCCGCCCCTCCGTGCTTCTGGGTTCGGACCCTCCGGCAAAGTTGATTGGACTGGAATTTAGCAGACCATTTTGAACAACAGAATTGTCTACGGTACAGCAGATGCCAACCGGGGTTAAGCCACAGCAGATGCCAACCGGGGTTAAGCCAAGTCCAAAAAAATGCGTATTGTTCGTATATGTGAAGCGGCCTGCGGTCAAAAACAAAATAGAACGTGGATGAAAAGAGGTCGCAAGGTTGCGAATTTACCAATTTAACCCTTTGACGTATATCGTCAGCCAAATTGGAAAGGAAGCCAAATAACGAGATTTCGGGATTTCTTCTCGGTCAACATCGCTACAGTCCTGAGTGGAAGTCATATAACAATGCTCTTTTTCAGTGAAACGAAGATGTAAAAAGTTGATCTCAAAGTCCAGAAAGTGTATCAAGAAAGTGAAATATGGAAAGACCACTAAAAAGCAAGTTTCAGTAAATCTAGTAAGCGAATGCAGCAGGTCACCACTGAACGAACAGTGAGAGCGAATGACTCCTGTACTTGTAATATCTTTCAGAATGAGTTGGCTCTTCAAATATACGAGGGATAAGCTAGAAGCAGACCAACACTAGGAAGATTGACCTTCATGAACAAACACTAACTCTTGAAATGAGAACGCGGAACTCAATTGTGAGCGGAGGATTGAAAGCATTTGAAGTGAATGTCAGTCTGAAAGCGCATAAATGGCTCTCATAGCAGGAAATGAACAACTATAAATAGCTGCATTGCGCAACTACGAAATGGTGACCGCCTATTTTTGGCAACGAGTCGGGAAGCATTCAATAGACCACACCAATTACTTCTGGTTTCATAGAAACTTGCTATTAATAACTTCGTGACTCGTTGAGAGCCGAACTACTCTACTTATTTGAACCATCAAAGAGTAAAGAAAAATCGGCGCTATCGCAATATACGGGGCATGGTGTAAGATTGTGTGAACATGCCCTTTTCATTAAGAAAGAAACTGAGCCTTAGACAGGAGAGAAGAGACGCCGGGGGGGGGTGTCATTTCTAATTTCTTCGCAGTTCCTGCCCCTTCCTAGGCTTAGTCCTGAACGATGCCCCCGTATATTGCGATATCCCCGAAAAATCAATATGCGAAAACACGAAACCTCATAAAGCGTTTTATGATGACCCTTCATTCCAACAATGAAACAACAGACACCAACTAGACACCATTGCCAAAAGCTTTATGAAACCTCCTGAAAGACCTTCATACAAGACCTATTCCCTGACTCGCCTCTCATTTGTATGGAAACAACATTATTGCCTAACCGTTCCAAGTGAGAACATCTTTATTCCGCACGTTTCGATGCTATAAGATTGCGCATCTGCTCCAACATCGCCCCTTCTTTCCTCTTCCGTTCTTCTTGAGAGAAACCAGATAACAGACGTTTCTCCTCGGCAGTCAAGACCTAGAAGAATTATGCAAACTAATAACAACACAAAAGAGAAAGGTTATAAAAAATTACATACTTGATTTTCCTTGCGTAATCGAGTGGCTTCCATTGCTTTGTGTCGTGTACCGCTCATCACGTATCCAACTTTTTCGAATTCGCTAATCTCTGCCGATGAGAGCCCAATTTCACCTAGAAAATAGGGCATCACTAAGAAAGCTCCCGAACGAGCACAGCAATGAAAACCACTCAAAACCTAAATGAACATCATTATCGAGAATTTCTTCCAGGAATGCAATCTTGGCTTCGAATCGCCAACAAACAAGAGAGTGCATTCAGCAAAAGATTAAGCCAACGGGCGCACCACCATCTCCGTACACTATCGGGTTTCTCTTCACATTCATAAGACACGTTAGAGAAAGGCCTTAGCATTAACGACCGCTGTAGGGATGGAATACCACAAGCGACAAAGGGAAACCCAGCAGCAGAAACGATATAAGAGTACGTTAACAATTTCTAGGAGACTCGTAAACCATCAAGGGAAACTCAAGCAATACTGAATATCCGATTATAAATAAGTACACAAAATGGGTGAACCAATCGATCCTACCTCTTCTTCGGGATACGCTCTCCTCTTGCTGCATATGCAGCCATAGCTGCCGCTTCTCCCTTCAGCATATCCTTACCATAGCTACAATTAAAGAAGTTGGTATTTCAACGAGGCTACCAAGAAAAAAATTACCAAGTATTAGGTCGTTTTCAAAGAAACTCCAATCCAAGACTTAGTATGTAGAGGAAACGTAACGCCCTGACTCATCAAAAAACTAACTTAGCCTTGATGGTAGCCCCAATCTGACTACGCGCTTGTAAATGCTCAGGCAGCGCAGGTCCTGGCATTTCCTGCTCCTCTCTAGCTTCTCTTTCTGCTTGTTGCACCCTCATGTCATGAGTGACTTCAACCCATTCATCACTGTCGTCGTCATCATCGTCATCACTGTTCTTAGCCTTCTATAAAAGAATGATGTAGGTGAAACTTGAATTATTAATAATCCACAATTAACAGCGAAACGGTAACCTCACCTTTCTTTTCGCTTTCTTTTCCTTTTTCTTCGCCTTTTTGCCTTTCTTCTCCTTCTTTCCCTTCTTTTCCGCTTTCTTCTCTTTCTTTTTCTTCTTCTTACCCTTAGATGACGGCTCTTCATCAGCTTCATCATTGACCATATTGGAGGAGTCTTAAAAGATAAGAGGTTCAGATAAAAAAAAACCGAGTCATGAACTATCAACTTTTAGAGCGCGAAAGCAAACATAAATATGAACTTTTGAAGAACACCATCTTCATCCTACCTTTCATAACATCAGCTCGCCTTTTCTTTTCTTCCAACATCTTTTCCTGATTACGCGATTCCCTCAGCTTCTCCACTGTTTCGAGTTCATTTCTCTTGGTTTCTTCACTTTCCATATAACTGAAAACACAATCTTAACGAATAGAATACTGCAAGGAACAAATGAGCGGACTCAATATATCCCGTGGAGTTTGATATGAGCCATGCCTATACTTAGCACCGTTCATAAAACCGAAAAATGTATGCAATGATAGAAACATAAGATCTAAAAAGTTCAAAACCCTTACGCTAGGTAAGCCTTTTCAATCTCGTGCTGATCGGGTGATAGTCCCCAGACTTCTGGTGCTCCTCGTTCCAAAACACCTAATCGACGGTCACGGCGCCTTGAAAAACACCACATTCATATTACAAGTTTGGATGCTTGTCAGCTTTCGACAAAATAACTGGTGAAAGTAAAGACAAACTTGCTGAAGTAGACTACTCTGGGATCAACCCGAGGGCTTCGTGATCTAGAGCGCGACTTGGAAATGGATCTCTGTCTGGTGTTACGTCTCTTCGGAGATCTTGAGCGAGATCGATTTCTGAATAGTATGTATCATGGACAACCAATAAACTGAGCACATGATGCTCACCTTTCCCTGGAGTGATCACGACGTGGACTCTGCATTCGGTCACGCTTACGAGAAGGAGAGCGACTGACATTTCTTCCGTTTCTGAATCGGAATGGAAAAAATTATACCTGTGTAAATGGATGGGGAGCTTCACTACCAGGACATCAAGTGTGTTCAAAAAGCGAAGGCAGGCGTGGTGAACGTTAGGATTGGCCGATGTCAGACTTTGCGATTGGAGCGATTTTGCACCAATTGCAGGAGCGACGGATCGCTTGAGCGATGCGAGCGACGGGAGATTTACACCGCCGACCACCGATAATTCGGCGCCGCTCGGGTAAATCTCCCGTCGCTCGCATCGCTCAAGCGATCCGTCGCTCCTGCAATTGGTGCAAAATCGCTCCAATCGCAAAGGCCGACATCGGCTATTCCCTGTATCTAGCACTCTAATGGCAGCGA